TATATATATATATATACATATATAGTATTTAGTAAGTAAGGAAATAGATTTTTATTGTACTAATTTTTTGTAACAGTTTACCCGTTTCCTTACTTACAAAGCACTCTGTATACTTTTATTAATAAATAATAATTTATACTACAATTGATCACTATATTTTAGAAAATTAAAGTAACGTTATTTAAAATGCATTAAATAATTTTGATTGTGTATAAAAAAATTAAACAATTTTTACAAGATTTCTCCATAACATCCAATCAAAAACTTGAATTAGTTATTTCAGTTATCGTAAGGCCATTATATCTTTCATGATAATGGAATAAGAATATTAATTATAAATATTATTAATAATAATATTAAATAATTTCAGTTGAAAATAAAATTATTAAATATATGTTTTTATTTTATACAATATAAACTCTGCAAACTGATGGTCGTCTTCCTTGTATATATTGGGCCTAGCCCGTTTAAATTTTTCAATAAATAAATAAACCTAATATTCTATCAGTTGAACGACTCAATAAGAAGTTTCACTTCATCCACGCATTCTCGTAACACACATTGGTTTTTTTTTTTAATTTTATTTAAAACTACCTAACAACATCCATAGAGCCTGCACCAGACTGAAAAAAATTTGTGTCTTTTTCCACCTTCATGTTCAATATATTATTCCAGATATTTTCTATAACTGAAATAAAATCTTTTTCTTTTTCAGTATACTCAATAACTTCTTGGTGTGTAATCTTTTTACCATAGTATTTTGCTGCCATCATTTGACCATTTACAGATAATCTACTGATATTTATCTAAAAAAAAAATTTTAAATAGAAGTTTCAAAACATTTAAGAACAGTTAACTATTTTGTACCTTTTGACCATCAGAACAAGTCACTAAAAGACCATTGTCATGTACAATACCCGGTGTTTTAAGATCATCAATGATAATTGTATCACCTATAGGTGTTTCAGCCTTCCATAAAGCTGCTTGAAATAATTTTACTTCTTTTCCATCTAAAATAGTCCAAGCCCCTGGAGAACTATCTAGTCCTCTAATAAAATTATGAACCTCCGAAGAATTTTTTAACCAATCTACCTATATAAATTATATATAAGTAATGAACTGAAATTCATATAGAATTAGAACTCCCTGAAAAGGCAATATTTATTACTAAAATATAGGGGATTTTAATTGAAATTTAAAAATAAATCTAAAAAGTACAAAAATATTCTTATAGAAATGAAAAAAATTTATTTTTTGAAACTATAATATCATCATCAGCGCTACATATATATTGATCAGTAAATTTTATAAGGTTGTAGATAAACTTTAAAATTGTATGTTGCAATTTGAAAGTGTAGCGCGGACCAGATAAAAATGGCTCGCGAGCCGGATACCGAATAATTGCCAATAAAATTAAGATCTAAGGTACATTGTACAGTATTGAAATTTTAAAAAGTTATTTTCTTATTAATAAGAAAATAACTTAATTGAAGATTTGGGAAAATTTTTAAGATATCCTTAAATATATTTTCTATCATATTAATAAATAAAACATTTAAAAATTTCGAATATAAAACCACTATATATAATTTTTAAAAAATAGTACAACATTGTCTCTTAATGTCAATCATATGTGATTAATAATTTTTATAAAAGTATTATAGTTTTATTAATTTAATGATTTATTATATTTAACATTTTCTCTAGTAAGTAACTTATTGGCTGTGTTAAAGAACACAGGAAAACCCATACAACTTAGCAAAATCATATCTTAAATAACTATGCAACAAGGTACAATGTATTTTCACGAAAATTATTCAAGTTTTCTTATTTACTTATATTTCAAAGTTTACTTTTTGTAATTCTTTTTTTCTAATAGATGGTTCAAAAGATGATCCTTCAGTAGATTGTGGAATTACCAGAGCTGTTCCATCAGCAACCATGTTAACTGCTTCAGCCTACAAATAAAAAAACATTCAAGATATATAATCACATTAAAAATTTAACTCATTCTTACCATACTTTTTATGCCTTCGGGATATAAGAATCTATTATATAAAGAATCAACTGTGTCATCAGGTAAAACAGGACATGACTTTTGTAATAGAATTGGTCCAGTATCAAGACCATCGTCAGCCCAAAATATTGAAAATCCAGCTTCAGTGTCACCATTTATAAGAGTCCTATAACATATGTAGACATTTTACTACAAAAACAAAAATAATTTTAAAAATCTTATACTTTTAACTTTAAATGTTATTTCATTAAAATTAAGTATTTTGATAATTTAATTATTGATAAATACATATGCATTTTTATTTTATTAATAAATTTGTAATATTATTCACTATACGACCAAGGACTTTAAATTATTTGGTAAATTAAATAATTAGTAAAATAACCCATAAAGTAAAGTAACCCATAAAAAATACCATATACAAAATTAAAAAAAAAAATGTATCTATTTGTTCATACCAATTTATAGCACTGACTCCTCTATGTTTAGGTAAAATTGATGGGTGATAACATATACTTCTATGTTTTGGATACTCAATAACTTCCATTGGAATAAATTGTGAACAAAATGGTAGAACATTAAGATCAGCATTAACTTTTTTATACTGAGCAAATACTTCAGGTAGAGCTTTTTCACCTTGTCGCCATGCTTTTATTTTAAATACAGGTGTGCCTCCTTCACCCGCTACAGCAGCTATACTCAAAATACATATTTATACACAAAATTTACAATTAAAAGTTACTTCTAAACTCAAAATTTAGCAGGTTTATATTTTTTATTCTGATATATTATAATATATTAACCTAAAGGATCTTGTCGATTTCCCTTATCTAAAATAGTAAAAACACCTACAACATGGTGACCGTATTTTAACAATAATTTGTATACTTCAGCAGCAAATGTACTCTGACCAATTATGGCTACATTTAAATCTCTATGGAATGTCTAAAAATTTTTATTTAAATTTAAACATTAAAATTATAATGAGTTTTTGTTATTGTATTGATATTATCTTACCAAATTGAAGCACCTACTAGGCCGGTTTCTGGTAAATTTATTAAGCAAAGACATCGTTATAAGCTCACGTGAATTAAATATTATTTTACAATTTAATTAAATTGTTATGCTATTAATGGAGTTCATTGAACTGAACTGGTTACTACTATCTACTAATAATTCATAACTGGTTATAATAAAAGAAAGTTAAACACAATGTAAACATTAACCGGTGATAAGCTAACATATGTTTATAAATGTTCAGTACCTGACGAACAATGATAAGAAGAAACAGTTAATATTTAAAAGTTTATTTTATCTAAAATACTTAAATCTGAAAAATACAATCACTCTAAAACAAAATTTTAAGTATGTAAATTTTAATAAACATATTATTTTCAAACTTTAAAACATCAAGTGGTTCGATTACTGTCACATTACGAGTTTATGTTATGCATTAATTATTGTAAAGTAATCTTAATTAATTTTACTAGTTTCAATCTAAGACATTAAAAAATAAATACATTCAATTGGAATGGCCACCAATCTAAAAAAATATGTTACAAGTAATTTATTAGAATTTCTATTATTATCTGTTGACCCTAACTTAATATTTAAAAATGATGCAGTCAAAAAATTACATTCTATTATTATATGTTATGATATTCAACACTTTTACAACATAAATAAGTGTATTACAAATAATAATTTAACTACAACATCAGTTCGATTAGATGAATTTTCTGCTTATTGTGATAGCAAAGTTAAGCCCAAGTATTTCATCAGACAGAACGGATACCACTGTTCTATGACTGTTGCTGACGTTTTAAAAATACAAGAATGGGCAAATCTATACTTAATCATAGGACCTACTCTAATGAAATTTTTACTATTTGATTGTTTGATTTTTGTACCACTCTCAGAAAATGTATATTTTTGTGTTGATTCCCCGTCTCATCAGTGTAACCGCTATGAAATAATTAAAACCTTCTGGTCTATCTCAGGATCACTGAAAATCATCACAAAATGGCAAAGAAATACCAAAGAATGTAAAAAAGAACCCAAGTGTTATAAAATTGCAGAGTTTTTTAATAAATTAAATGAAATAGGAAAAACTAACGTAGAAGATATCTTGACACAAATACGAAACATTGATATCGGACTTGATAAGATTAAACTAGATGAATTGTATTTAAAGCCTCTGGAGATAAATTTAAAAAAATTGGTTCATAAAGATCAATGGTCATGTTACAATGACATTTTTAACAAAGCGGTTAGTGAACATTCACACAATGAAATTCCTTTGAATCGTATTAAACAATTCGCAGTTTCTGTAGTTCAAAAAGTAATTCCTTTTGAAATGTTTGGTACGAATGTTAACCGCAATCAATTCTGTAAAAATCTATCTAAAATATTTAACTGTGGCTTGACCCACAATTTTACAGTTGAACAAATTGTTTACAAAATGAAATATTCTTCAGTTAAATGGCTGAAATGCAATGGCGAACCAGGTGTGATACGACAAATAAAATCTGCAATTTTCAAAGCGACTCTAGTTTGGTTAACCTCTTTCGTTCTCAGTCGAATTGCACGGTGTTTTCAAGTTGTTAGGTCTAATGTATCGAGCTACGGTGTAGCTTACTTTACAATGCCTTATTGGAAGTCTATTACTGATAAAAAATTGTTTCCTTTAACCAAAAACGGGTTTTTCCAAGAGATTACCAATAGCTCAGACAGTTCTTTAAGAAAATGGAGGATTTGTCCGTACGCAAAGGCCAAGGGCATCCGGCTGATATTTAAACGTCGTGCAAAAATTGAAGAGGAACTGATGGACGATTGCCTGGTGTTCTTACGTTGCCTATCCTATACGTACTCGAGAACAAAATCAATCGACAAGGTAAAATTTTTCGAAAGCTGGCAATCATTAAGATCGTGCCTTGATCAGACCCATAAAATCATTTATTACGTAAGAACTGATTTCCAAGACGCGTTTACCAGTATCAAACAAAAAGCTCTGCTCTCTGTACTGAGAAACGCCATTAAGCAATATTACGGGGCCAGTTCACAATCGCTTCAAATGCATACAGTGGACGTGGTAAAGTACGCCACTGGAAATAAAGTGCGTTGCAAGAGAGTGAAATTCTTCGACGGATTACCGACACCCACATTTTCTGGCGGCTCTTTGATGTTTCACCGTAAAAGCGTTACCGTATCGTTGAGCAAAATTTGGGCCGTCATTAAAAAATGCGTAGAAGGTAATGTGGTGACACTCTACAACCGCTCGAGGATTATGACTAGGGGTATAATTCAAGGTGATAGACTTTCGATGATTTTATGCGATATCTTTCTTGCTGACCTTCAATCAAACGTAATTAGGTCTTACGTCAGCGGGCCTTCGCGACTACTGTATCGATTTATGGACGATTACCTATTTGTATCTTTTGACAAAAAGTCGGCCGAAGATTTTTTGGCGGTCATGAATGCTGGATTTGAGGCTTATGGTTTGACTATTAACAAAGAAAAAACCGAAACAAACCTATACGGAATATCAGAAGGAGGAGGAACGGTCCGTTTTTTGGGTTTTTGTATCAATATAGATACTGGCGAAGTAACTAAAGACGTACAGTTATTTCGTCGCAAACGACCACTACATTTCTTTAATTACAACTTGGGAGTCAAATCTGGACAACGCTTATATCAACGTCTCACTAATTACGCACACTATCCAGTACCCGCCGTTTTACTTAGTAAAGTTTACAATACTACAGGTACGGTCGTGCGAAACTTAGCTATATTAATTTGTCACAAAGCATTTGGAGCCATTTTTGGGATAAAGCAATACTTTAGCCACGTTAATAATTTATTCTTATGGTGCTTAATACGCGATGTCGGAAAAGTAATTTTTGCGAAAATATATTCAGCACGACGAATTTCTCCTATTACTCCAATGCAGAGCAAGTGGATTGTCTATGAAGTTTATAAAAAAATGTTACAGAAGTACCTAAATTGCAATACCAGTCTAGTTATTACACATCTGCGAGCTAAACAGGCTGTAATGCGAAAAAAATGCAACGTGACTACATTAGAACTAGCTTTAAAACATTACGACTTCTTAAAAATGTTCGATTAATATTTTATGTATCATTCTTTGTCAATAATTATTGTGAGAAAACTATATTGTTAACTTTTTTTGTGTATTGTATAATTATTGTTTTTTTAATCAAGAAGAAAGAGCAAACATATCGTATTGTAAAAGTTTAAATTGGATAAAGATATTTTTTTGGTGATATTCATAATGCAATTTTCTTTATCATTAACTAATGTAAAAAAAAAATTTTTTTAACTTTATTTTTAGATGCTATCCTAAAAATTAAGTAATATTATAAGTTTATTGTCACATAATTATTGTATTTAAAACTAATCTATACATTAAGTTAATTTTCTAAATTTTTTTTTTACCAGATTTATAAAGTAAAACAGAAATGAACTTTTTTATTATTAAAATATAAATTTATATTAATTATTAATTAAATTAATATTAAATATTTATATTTAATTAAATAAATCAAATTATTTTAAATAGAGAATGAAATTTTATTATTAAAAATAAATAACCAACCAAGGTATATAATTATAAATATTGTATACATGTATATATTTTTCTTTTTTATAAATTTTATACAAATATACTATCAGAGTCATCATAAATTATAATAGCTTTAATATAATAGCAAATATTTACTTAATTTTATCATATAAAAACTAAAGAATTATTAACTGGTATTTGTTGTTTATATTTATACTTAGTAAAACTAAAATTAAAATTGATTTCAAAATCATAGGTATATACAAAAGCAAGTTTAAAAACTTCTTATAAGTGTATATTATTATTACAAAAAATTGTATGTTTATGAAAACTTAATATAAATAATAATTAAGTTTTTAGTATTTCTTTCATAACTTAAATGCCCCTTAGATAAAAATAAAATTAAGAAGTTATCACAGCTTCTAAATGTTTTAAAAGTGGCACAAAGGTATGCCTGAATGATAAAATAACTAAAAATGTTTCAAGTATTCAATAATGTATATAAAAACTTATATACTCACACATGCATATCTGGTATAATATATCATTGTATATTTATACAAATTTATATGTATGATATACATGTATAAAATTCTAGATGACTTATTTTATGTTTAAATAATCTTGTAAAGTTTGTTAAGAAAAAATAAAAAAATACTTATATAAATCAATATTTAAATTAGTCGAACGCTCCTTAAATGTATTATTTACATAAATACTTTGCTATGTTTGGGGCATGTATAATTGTTCTCTAAATTGGATATAACTTTATTCAAAATAAAACAATTATTCTATGTACAAAAAATATTTCTTTTTATGAGAAAGGTAAGTTATAAAAAACAATAAATGCTTACAAAAATTAGATGACACTTGTTTTATAATTGAAAAAATGACCTATCACATTTATTTCTTTAAATTAAACAACAGACTCTATTTCTTTAATTTCTTGAAGTGGTGGTTTGTTTGGGGTAGGAGCTGTTTCAATAATTGTAGGAACCTGAAGGTGATTATTTGCTTCAAAATCTTCATCATCTTCTTCATCGTCTTCATCAATAGGTGTTAAGGCATCATCCTCTTCTTGTGGTACAGCCATTTGTCTTTGATCCATATATCGTTTCAAAGGAGCTGCCATAAAACTAGTTAAAGCTGATACCAGAAAAAATATTGCAGCCATAAAAAAAGGCCAATCATATGACTTCTTCCAATCATAAACAGCACCAGCTAAGGGTGTTCCAACAATGGCAGCTGCTCCACGAAACAATATAAGAAGTCCAAATGCATTTGTTAATTTTTCTAAACCCAAGAGGTCTACGAGTAAAATTGAAGTTAAGGATATATAACCAGCTAAAATATAACAAAAATTTTTTAGAAAATTTTCTTTAAATAATTTATTATTATTATTTTATACATACAAACTGCAATTCCAAAAAACATAGCCATTGTAACATAGTGATAATATACCACACAGAACGGTGTAGCGGCAACAGCTGCTGTACATATCAGCAAGCATATATTATTTAGAAACAACGAATCTACTCGTGGATAATCAGCTATAAAACCACAAACTACTCGACCAATGGTATTAGTTATACCAATAATGGATATAAGAAATGTTGCTTGATCTTTGTTAATTCCCATACCCTGAAATTTTAAAAATCAAATAAGACATGAAATTTTAATACTTTAAATAATGTGTACATACAGCTTCTTGAGCATAATCAACAAGGAATACAAATGGTACATAAAGTCCTGCCATTCCAAAAAAATTGCTAATACCTATTAAAATAAACACTGGATTTTGAAGTAAAGATGTGTCCATCATTGATGATAAAACTGAATTGATGGATTCCGGAAGACAAGGACAACATCCTTCTACAACAAAAAATTTGAAAACTAAATTAATTGAAACTAAGACTTAACAACTATTTTTTATTATATTTTGTAAATAAAAATACTGTATCACACCTATTTTCTGAAAAAGTACATATTACTCATAAAATTAACTAACCATCAATTTCTTCTTCTCCTTTTTCATTAACTTTCATCATTGACTTTGGCAAAGATAATATACTTTGACGATAGCTAGCTAAAGACTTCTGAGAACGGTATTCAGGTAAATTTAAAACACTTCCTGAATAAAAAATATCCTTTCGTGACATAGGTCGTACAATTTCTCGTTTATTTCCACCAATACTTGTTTTAGATGAGGTATACCCTATACTATCAGTATCCACCTAAATATGAATAAGAAATATTTTGTATACATAAAACTCTTCAACCAAAAGTTATTTCTTTTTTTTAATTTAATACTTACATTTGACCACATGTCTTCAGCATTATTGTTTTTACTACCAAGGATAGAAACATTTGATAATTTTAAATGAATTGATTTTCTTATATCTCCATTAGAATTTAAATTAGGTCGAGATACTTTAATAGGTCCAAGTGTCGGACGATATCGTTCACTAGCACTAGTTTTTCGTATTCTATCAAAAAACGGTACAGATCCATTTTTTGGTAAACCCTGAACATGAGTTGTAAATGCTGGCTGAGATGCATTTCTTGGTAATGCAGCTTTTACTTCATTAAGTTCACCATTATTTTCGCCATTTAAGAGTTTTTCTCCATTAATTGGTTTATCTCCATTTTTAAGTTCAACAGTATCTTTTGATTTTTCATCCTTCTTTTTATCAGATTTCAATTCTCCACTTCCAGCATTACTAGAACTATTGCTGGAGCCACTTTGTTCAGGAGCTTTAACTTCTTTAATTGTAGGTAACACGGCCATGGTTGGAATTGGTGTAATTGGTGATCCTGTACTTCCAACCAGTTCATCCAAATTAAAACTTGAATGAACACCAGGATCAATGTTTAGTGGTAACTTTTGTCTTTTCTCTAAGGAGCCATCTTTAAGCTGTACAATAAAATATGATCCACCAATTGATCCCCGTTCCATTTGCATTCGTTTTTCATCTGCCATACGCTGAAGTAAAGGTTTACACCCCTCATTTGGATACTCTAATGGTTTCATCAAAGCGCCAAATATCTGAAATTGTACATGAAATATTAGTAGTCTACAAAAAAAAAAAAAAAATGTTTTATATTTTAACTTACACCACATGAGAAAATCATCCCAGCTAATATTAAATTTGATTGCCTCCAATCAAAATGTTCAAGAAGTAGATTGGCCAAAGGTGCAAAAGCGAAAGTACCAAATCCTGAACCACATACAGCAATACCAGTTGCTAGTGATCGTTTAGTTTCAAAGTAGTACCCAACACAAACAACTGCTGGCAGATAAATAAGTCCAAACCCAATACCTGAAATAATGGTTTATATAGTTAATTTGTTTTTTTTATAATAATAGAGATGTTTTATAAAATATAAATTTTTTATTTATTATTTTATTAAAAATTATATAGCTATAAAAATGTTTAAAAACAGACAAAATTAAATAACAAAAAAATATGTAAGATTAAATAACTAAACTACATAATATTTGCCCTAAATCAAACAGTATTTTATTATCATTAATATTTAAATTTATTTATTTTTACTTATAAAGTGTTTAACTTTTGATAAAAGACATAATAAATAAAGGCTTGAGGAAATAATCAGAGATCATAAGAAGTTAATTACATTTTTTATACTTTTAATAAAATGTAATTTAACTAATATTTACTCTACACTTGAATAGCAACAATTGTTTTTAAGTTTTAATTAAGAGGTATAGAGTTTGAAAAGAAGGAGCGCTAAAATTAAGTGTTAAAAAATAAAATAAAACAGAGGTATTGAATTGAGCCACAATTGTTAACAGCTAAGATACACAATATCAATATAAAATGATTAGTTTTTATTTTATATAATAAAATATAACTACGTGGGAAATCATAAATTATAATTTAACATTTTTAAAAATTAAATATGTTGAATTTTAATAATTTAATTTTTACACATAATAAATAAAAGCATAAAACAAAATAGCAAAACATCTTCTAAAATAAATCTTGAATACCAATTATTTAGACCATACTATTAATATTAAAAACAATAATAGTATACAGTATTAATGAACTAATATTACTATGTATATTTACCTCCTAAAATTCCATAAGTGAGCATCAAAACATTTAAATTAGGTGATATTGTACTAAGAGCAAAGGCAGCAGCTGCAATAACACTACCTGCTATACAAACAGTTCGACAACCATACTTGTTAGTTAATGCACTAACCACTGGACCTGTTACAAAAAAATTAACTAGTAACAAGTCAAGAAATTTTAAAACAAAATAAAATACATACCAGCACTTAAATACATTCCTGAAAGAAGACTACCAACCCAAGCTGTTTTTCCATAAGATTCATTGTAGTAGTTCATAAAATGTTTATGAAATATACCAAATGTATATGCTATTCCATCTACAACCATATTACACATGAAGCTGGCTAATACAATTACCCAACCATATCCACCATCAGGAGGAGGGGGCAAATCATGGTATTCACAAAATGATATTCCATCATCATCAGTAGTTTGAACTGGTCCCATGGCCAACGGAGGAGAACTGGCATTTTGTCGGGCAGTTTCTTCAGCCCTTTCAGCAGCTGAACACTCACTCTCAGTCTTAAAAAAATATGACTAAATTATACTAAATGTATAAATATATATATATATATATAATTACAAATTAATTTGTTTAATAAAAATAAGAAATTCATTATATATATTAGGTATACTCTTATTCTATTATGCATGATTATAGAGCTGTCGCTTCAACAATTACACTCAATTAAATATTCATTACACAACTGGTAAACGGTTGGCGCCAAATCAACTCAAATTGATTGTATCCCAGCCGAATAGCAAGAGTTAGTCAATTTATAAAATAAATATAAATTTAAAATTAAATATGAGAAAAATAACTAATTACCTCTACAACAATTAAAAAGAACCAAACTGCTATTTAATATCATGTCACATATGTAATATACTCTTAAATTAGGAATGAGTATATTAGATAAGATTACTTGCAATACAAATAAGGGCACCATTTGAAGTGAGAGAATTTTTGTGAAAATTATATTTTATATTTCAAATATATTATGAAGCTATTTAAAAAAATATTTTATAACGATTCAACAACTTTCGAGGGGGTAATTTAATTAAAATAATTGTCGGTGTATACTACCAAGTGTTAGAAAATTATATATTTAGTTAAGTATATTAATTTTCTAATTGATATCGAAGTAAATCATGGCTTCTAATTTCATAAAGTAACTTGTTACAACATACAAGTACACTCTTAATTTAGTAACTAAATTCGTATAATAAAAAATACAGTATCAATAGTCTTAAATAAAATCAGGAACAATTAATAACTAATATTCAAAGCGCCAAGATATCCTTGAAGATAGGAACATAATTTTAACATCAAAATTTAATAGAATTATTTTTTGTATATTAGACGAACGTATCATACATATTCTATCGTCTTATCTTAATATTCGATGAATGACAAAATAAAAAAAACCATTATTAAGGTATTTTAAACAGGTAATAGATTAGCAGACGACGAAAAACAATTCATAAAACGAATAATATATGAAATTATACTCAAAAATATGTTTTAAATATTTTTACAAATGGAAATCAAGAATGGTACAGAATAAGCTATTTATTCATCTTTAAAAAGATAACTAAAGGTTATAACTAAGGTTAAAATCGATATATACGATGGAAAAAGTAAGCATTTAGCTTAACATGTTGCTATTCATTAATTTTCATTTACGAAGATTCGTGATTTATGTTCATTTTTTTAATACTATAACAACATCGTTACATTATAAACTAAACCGTTGCCTTTAACTGCAATTTACACAACCACTCGAAAAACAAACGCACTTTATTCACAAGGAAGTCCTTGCTGATAACGTATAGCACTCGTTTAGTTTATTAACAGCATTACTATTGAAAAAATAGACTTGAAATTATACGCCGATGTTTTCAGTCAGATGACATGTTACAGTGGTTAACTGGAACGTGTGAGTTCTTGGGAAATAACGAGGTATACGTGCGTTGCAATCTGAGGTTTCGGTTAAAAGCTTATTGGATATTGCCGTAAACGATTTTGCGAGTTCAGACCTTGAATTATAAAATAGTAAAAATAAATTGAGAATTACTTTTAAACGGTAAAGAAGAAAACCCAATAGAAAATAAACTCACGAAAAAAAAAAATTATTTTTAATTTATTGTAAACCTATTGCTACCGATCGGAACTTAATGACCATATGCCAACGGTACTTATCATTGACCGAAAGCAATAAACTTTTTAATGTCAAAGTCGTTTAAAGTTCTTGTAGATTTTATCGATCACGATTTATTTCTCAATATTAATGATTTTACAGACCACTAGAAAACTTGATAATATTTGGAAATATTATAGGACAAATAAACATTTGTATTAATTAGTGAGAAAAATAGACCATCAACAATAAGTATTATTACAATCATCAAACTACGATTTATCGCATTTCTGTCATTAATTACGATGACTAATAAGTATTATTACAAACACAAATAACAATGTTGATTATTACAGACAACTAATTAGTTAAGAGTAATAATTATTATTGTTGTTTTTAACATGTTATGAAATAAAAAATGTGAAAATAATTATTTTCGCCTTCAATGACGTAAATAATTGTCCATCAACTAAAAAAAAATCAACATAAAGTGGAGTAAACTGTACGAAGTAAACGAGCATTTTTTATAATTTAAAACACTATTTTTAAAAATCTTGATCTATTATTGACAATTCGACTTATTGACAGTATACAAGAAGCCATTTTAAAAATAATATTTTATAACAAGATTTCTCATCCAGTAATAACTGACAAATTTCAAATAATTGCCGATAACGTTATTGATGTCAGTTTTTTGTAGTAATTAAATTGACAAAATACATTAAGAAATTTCCAAAGTTTGCAAGTCGCTAATACATAAATGAATTTTAGTATAGATAATCAAATAATTTTTTTTAATACGACTTCTTTGTTACTTTAATTAATTTTTTTGTCAAGTTTAAAAAGAACGTTATAGTTTAAGCGGCACTATATTTCACACTCAAATACACTATTAAAAAGTAGTACCAAGTGGTCAAATAATCTTAAGCTAAGATGACTCATTAATAACGAGACTTCTGCTAATTAAAAAAAGTGTATCCCAAGTTTAATTATTGGATATTATCTGGGTGCCAGCATAATAAAATATCTAAACTCATAATTTGCAAGCCTGCGGGTTTAGAGGCGTATACCACAGCTTAGTAAATGACATCAGTACTTTAATAACGAGTATCAACATCTAAGAGCAACTGTACAAGTATAGGAGTAAAATATATTTGAATCACTTGTTATTATATGCAGAATATGTTAGCCGCTGGCTGTGTTTAAGTAATCTGGTCACGTTTTTATTTTGCAAAATATATTGATGAGATTACAGAATATGTAATGTTTGATTCTAACCTTTTCACTATTGAAAAGGATAAATGATCTCTTAATGTAATTTATTATTTATTCAGTGTACTAATTTTAATAAAAACACAACTTCATTAACATATTGTAAGAGCATAGTTCATGAATAGGTGAAATGTAATTAGTGGTGCGTAATACTCGGTAACATTTGTCTAAAACTCTTCAGTTCTTAAGCTTCTTCTCATTTTATAATCGATTAAAAGTGTTGTCCAACGATAAAATAAATATTTTCATTGCAATCTGCTGCTGATATATATCGTGCATGTCAAGGAAAACTACTCTTGTGTTAACGTAAAACAATTAATTTAACTTGGTATTAATTTTCATTAAAAAAATAGCAAATAGTATAGATACTACTATGCTAAACATTTAATACAAACATTTGTATACTGTCACAAAAGCCTACTCAAAATATAGCACGTGATTTGCCAATGAATGCTGCCGCATACATATTAAAATCCATAATAGACTTAATTTTCTAACAGTGGAAAGTATAAATGTAAAAAATATTACCTAAGCTTAATGACAATACATTAAATTTAGAAAAAAAAAATCTAAAAATATTTACAGGCATCGTATATTTTTTAAATATATTTTAAGCACCTATTTTACATTTACAAAGTTAAATTTCTCCCATAAACAAAACACAATACTTTTTAGTTAATGAAGCATGATTAAGAAGGGAATGATAATACAACTTAAAATAACGTTAGATAATATTGATTACATTTTTAATTTACAAAAAAATCATCCACTAAAAATGATCACATAAATAACATTATGTTCTCTAAAATAGAGGACGAACTCATTACTAAGTAATTTAATTTATAAAAATCGATTGAAATTAATAGAAAACCCACAACGGAAAACCCTGAAATCTGAAAACATTCGAAATCAATTAGTTTATTCATTTTATTTACCAGCAAAAAAAGTGTAAAATATGTTGGAGATCTGCTGTTTACATGTGTTAAAACAGGTTGCTCTACCTGACACAAAAACTTATAACATTCATATTGCAAATACAAATAAATAAACAACGAAAATTACTGAAAATTTTTAACAATAGTTATTGTAAGCTATATAAAATAATTGCTCTATCATAACATAAAAGTGTGATGTCTAAAAATAATGATATTAAATCATTTAATGAGACAATCGTCACGCGCAATTATTATAAAAAGCTTAAGAGTTTTGGGTATATCGATTAGCAATTAAATGGATCTATTATGCTTGCCACTGTTAATCTATGCAACACTTAAGTATGTATGAAATTACAAATCAGTATTATTAATTGATAAGCAGGCAATTAAGTTCTACTATTTGAAGTAGTTATTATAGATAAGACAATAGAAACTTAATCCGGAATTTTAATTTTTTATTTTTTGTTTCTAAGCAACCTTATCAAACGAATTCTAAAAAAAAATTGACAATTAAACTAAAATTATATTGAATGCCATTCTCGAGTAATTTTCTTGATATTCTTATCTGAGTGAGATAATGTTTAATCAAAGCTTATTTATTTTACAAAATTGCATATTTTCTATATATGTTACCTAATTTTGATACATCATCTTTTCAGTTTTATGTATGTAATAAGTATTAAAGAAGTAGTTATCAACACAAATAACTCATTCATTGAAAAATTCACAATTTTCGTACTAATTGAACCGAAAAATTCGCTCTATTCAACATTCATTAAAAATTCCTACACACGAGTATATTTTTTACTTTGTATAGGAAATTGTAAAAATAATTTTGTTCTCAATACCTCATAACCCGAAAACACCACAAACCAACTCACCCGAGTCACGTACATTGTTATTTTATCAAACTTTCTGTAAACAAATATTTCATATCGATAACTAAAATAAAAATATGAAATTACTCTAAATCAAATATATTTTCTGTAAACAAGAAGAAATATGTACTGATAATAATTATAACAAAGATGCAAATGACGCAAAAAATAGCTAATTATTTTCTTTATATCGCGTCACATATATACGCCTTACTATAAAATTATTTAAAAAAACAACGATTAGCATTCTCCAAGAAAATGTATATAAATATATATTTTTGTTTTAACTTCACACC